CCCCGCCGGCCCGCACCCGGCCGCCGGCCCGCTGCTGCCGCCGCGCTTCTACCCGCGCTACGTGCTGCCGCTCGCCTTCGGCAAGTACTTCGCGTCGGTGTCGGCGCACGTCAGCATCTGGAAGGTGCCGGTGTCCTACGCTCACACCGGTGGGTGCGGGGGCCGGGCCGCGCCGGGCCACTCCGCCCGGTTAGGAGCGCGCGGGGCAGAGGCCGCCCAGGCCGCGGGCGGGGGAAGGGACCGGAGGCGCCGAGAACGGACGAGCCCCGGGACCGCCCCCGCCCGGCCTCCCGGTGAGTGCCGTCCCTCTCTTTGCAGTCAAGGCCACCATGCCCATCTGGGTGGTCCTCCTGTCCCGGATCATCATGAAGGAGAAGCAGAGCACCAAGGTGAGGACGCCCCGCGCGGGGGCCGCGGGCCCGAGCTGCTGACGTGGGCGGCCCGGCTTCCTGTGGAGGAAGGGAAGTCGGCGGGGAGGCTCCCGGGGGTCCCCCCGCGGCGGGCGGGCCATGCCGGGGGCCTCGGGGCCCGGTGCTGGCCCCTGCGTGCGGCCTCGCCCCCGGGACCTGGGCAATGGACGGAGCTTGACAGACAGAACCGCGGGAAGCGGACGTGGCAATCTGACGTGAGATGCTGGACCCAGAGGTCGGGCGATGGCCGGGGCGGCGTCTTGCACATGAAAGCCGCGCGCTGATAACCTGGGCACGGAAAGGCGCCCGGCGGGAGGAGGGGATGCCCCTGGCGCCAGCCAGGGCTGTGTGAGCGTGCCCAGCCCGGCGCTTCCTGCCTCCGGGCTCTCGGGACTCCTGGGGTCCTCGCTGGAGTCCTCTGGGGGTACCCCGACAGCCTTCACTGTGTGTGACTTAGGCGGAGCCCAGCGGCTGCCCCGCACGAGCTGTTGGGAACCGGGCCCCGTCCGGCTGGATGCTTTCTTACAGCCTGGCCGACCTTGTGCACCCTCCCCTACCCCAAGGCTGACGTCAGGTGTGACTGGCCCCTGGGGGTCAGAGGCACGGGTGACACACAGGTGCAGGTGCGTCGCCCAAAAGCCCGTGGTGTTGATCGGGTTTCCGGGCTCCATGGGACACTGTACTGGGCTTGGGCAGGGAGCCCACGTGGCGGCCGGCTGAGAGGTCGGCTATGGCTTGGTCCTATCAGATAGCAGGCCAGGGACGGGCGATTACTTTGCTTGGTCCCACCCAGTGGGCAGATAAGGCCGATCACTGATAGCCCGCCAGGACCTGGGACTTCAAGGGGACAGGTGCCGCACCCGAAGGCCGCAGGGGGGGGGGGCTGGGACTCCGTCCCCCAGACTGCAGCCCGCACGCTGCCCTCCCAGAGGAGGCCCCTGAAATCTCTGCTGTGGCTCTTTCAGGGTTCTCCTTGCTTTTGCAGTACTGGAATTTGAACTCGGCCTTGTGCTTGCTGCACGGGCCTTAGCTGCGCGAGCTCCGCGCGAGCTCTCTCAGCTTTTGTGTTTTTTTTAAGTGTCTTGTGGTTTTGTCCACACCAGCCTGGACCATGCCCCTCCTACCTAGAGCTTGTCACAGAAGAGGTGGGCATGTCGGTTGAGATGGAGTTTCACTAACTGCCCTGCTGTTCTCCATCCCCAGTAGCTTATGTGAAAGGTGTGAATCCCTGTGCCTCGGCCTGTCTCCTTTTTTGTTTCGAATGGTACTGAGACCTGTACTTGGAGACTTGCGCTTGCCGGGGGGACCCTCTCCTGCTGAGTCATGCCTCTAGCTCGTCTTCGTTTTTCTTTTTTGGTATCATGGGGGTTGAACTCTGGGCCTGGGTGCTGGCCATTGGCTTTTCAGCTCAAGGTGAGTATACTTGAGCCACAGCACCACTTCTGGTTTTCTGGTGGTTCATTGGAGAGAAGAGTATCATGGACTTTCCTACCCAGGCTGGCTTTGAACTGTGATCCTCAGATCTCAGCCTCCTGAGTAGCTGGGATGACAGGCGTGAGCCTTGGGCGCCTGGCTTTGTCTTGGTCTTTGTCTTTCTGACACGGGTTCACTGTGGAGCCCCTGCTCGCTGGCAACTCTCATCCCGAGGGCCAGGATTACAGGTGCATGCTCTCACACCCAGCCCTGACCTTGTTTGAAGAATTTTTTTATAGCTCAGGGGTAAGCTAAAAGCCAGGACAGCTCCCCATGGTCTGTGGAACCTGGTGGCCCCTCAGGCACTGAGAATTCTCCCACCAGTGCCTGGTTGTCCCCACGGCCAACAGCTGTTAGGCCTGCAGCGTGCGGGCCGGGCCTGTGTGATGGAGAGCAGATGGTCCAGTGGGCGGAGCTGGACGACCGGGCCGGGCTGGGATACCAGGCAGCACAGGACACGGGAGGACAGAGCCGTGGGTGACCCGAGGAGGGGTTGTCCCAACCAGGGGAGCCAGACTTGGCCAGGAGAGGTGAGGGGAGGCCGCGGGGAGGGCCCAGCCTGGGCCGGCTGCCCCGGACGCCAGGTGAGGGCCAGGAGAGCGAGCACAGCCCTTGGTCCCCGCAGGTGTACCTGTCCCTCATCCCCATTATCAGCGGCGTCCTGCTGGCCACGGTCACCGAGCTGTCCTTCGACACGTGGGGGCTGGTCAGCGCCCTGGCCGCCACGCTGTGCTTCTCTCTGCAGAACATCTTCTCCAAGAAGGTAACGGCCCCTGCAGGGGGATAGTGCACCCCCCACCCCACCCCCATGCTCAGGTCCCCAAGAGGGTTCTCTGTTCTAAAGTGAACAGGGAGCCACACCAGTCCTCCCAGCGACTCAGGAGGCTGAAGTCTGAGGACTATGGGCCAAAGCCAGCAGGACAGGAAAGTCTGAGATTTCAGTGAACTAGCAAAAAGCCAGAAGCGGTGCTGTGATTCAAGGGGTAGTAGAGCACCAGCCTTGAGCAAAGACACTCAGGGACAGCGCTCAGGCCTTGGGGTCAAGCCCTAGGACTGGCTGTGCGCGCGCACGCACACACACACACACACACACACACACCCCTTTTGCGGTGAACATGGGGAGAGCAGAGACAAGGCAAAGAAGCACTTCGGGGTCCTCCGTGTGGCATTGTGCCAGGAGAAGTGGCCGTGTCCTGGGGCCACAATGTTATGGACGCCACTTCCTGCGTGGCAGTGGGCGGCCATGGCTCGCAGCGTGACAGGCACCTGCCACAGCCGCCCTGAGACGCAGCTCTTCCAGCTCTCGGTCATTTTTAGCAGCTCTCTCCCTGCAGGTCTTGAGAGATTCGCGGATCCACCACCTCCGGCTCCTGAACATCCTGGGCTGCCACGCTGTGTTCTTCATGATTCCCACGTGGGTTCTCGTGGACCTCTCAGCCTTCCTGGTCAGCAGTGACCTGGTGAGTGTCCGGCTCCGGGGCAGCGCCTCCCCCAGGGCTGGGTCAGCCGCCGTGGCTCTGCGATCCTTCTTCTGGCATCTGTTATATTGGCCTGTTTCCTGAGGCTGTGTCAAAGCGTGCATGTGTGTGCGATGGGCTGGGGTTGCCGGGCACCGGCGGCTCACGCCTGTCATCCTAGCTACTCCGGAGGCTGAGATCTGAGGATCACAGTTCAAAGCCAGCCTGGGCAGGAAAATCCGTGAGACTCTTATCTCCAATAAACCACCAGAAACCAGACGTGAGGCTGTGGCTCAAGAGCACTAGCCTTGAGCTAAAGAGCTGGGGGACAGCGCCCAGGCCCAGAGTTCAAGCCCCGCAACCCACCAAAAAAAAAAAAAAGGAAAAGGGTTTGTCCCGCCCAAACAGCGTGGTACAGCTCTGGCAGCGCCCTGCCTCCCCATCCAAGGTGGCCAGGCAGGAAGCCGGCGCAGCCTCGCTGGGACAGCACCAAGGGCTGGGCCTCAGTTCTAGCCCGTGCTCCACGGGCCTGTGGTGCCCTTGGATCCAGCAGGGAGTTCAACAGGCAGCCCAAAGACCTCACTTCCTCCCGCCAGGCCCCCCCCTGCCAGGCCCCGCCCCTGCAACGGGAGAAGGAGGTCCCAGGAAGCTCTGCCTCTTAAAAGGTCCCATAGTGAGTGAGCGTCATCAAGCCTGTCCTCTCGCCTGCTGGCCCTGGAGCACAGGGACCCATGTGGCCTCCCCAGCCAGGGCAGGGCACCGCGCGGCACCGCGCCGCCTGGCTTCAGCTGTGAGCTGAGTCCTGGTTCCCAGTGGCCGCTACACTCGGGCCGGAAGCTTCAAGCACAGAGCCTGCTGGCATGGATGTCTTTGGCCGCCTGACCATCTCGCTCAGTTCTTGTTCTGACACTTTTCCCCCCTTTTGAGGGATCTTGCCCTGTGGCCCAGGCTGGTCTTTAATGCCTGGGTTCATGTGATCCTCCTGCCTCAGCCTCCCCGAGTAGCCGGGACTAGAGGCATGTGCCACCAGGCCCCGCTGAAGAGCCATTGCAGGCGCATCTGCGCTACAAGCAAGGGAGGCGGCCTGTTGCCCTTCTCCCTGCTGGTGCTGTTTTCGAGGCTCCGGCTGGGGTTGGGACGTCAAGGCCCGACGGGGAGGCTCGAGCCAGGCCTCCCGCACCCTCCCTCCCCTCCTGGCTCTGCTTCCTGTCTCCTCCCGCACTCTCCCCCCCCTCCTGGCTCTGCTTCCTGTCTCTCAAGGCGTGGCCTCTGCCACATGGCCCTGGGGGGGGAAGGCGGTGGCAGGCTCACCTGGCCCAAGTGGGGCCCTAGGTTCAAGCCCCAGCTCCGCCCAAAAAGCACAAAAGCACTAGCCAGGCCCGAGGACTCACAGCCAGGAGAGACCCCTGCGTTCTTGAGACTGGGTTCGTGACAAGCTCAAGGCCACGTTTCCAGAACCTTCCATCCCCAGAATGCAGCCCTTCGTCTTCTGGCACCTGAGCTCCAGGGCCTGGCGTCCGCTGGAGGCGGGGCCGCTGGGCCCTGGGGGGATCTGGGGTCACGGACGCCGCGCAGGCCCCCACCTCCCACCCCACCCACGGCCATCTCTGCCCCCGTCCCCGCAGACCTACGTGTCCCAGTGGCCGTGGACGCTGCTGCTGCTGGCCGTGAGCGGCTTCTGCAACCTGGCGCAGAACGTGATCGCCTTCAGCATCCTCAGCCTCGTCAGCCCGCTCAGCTACTCCGTGGCCAACGCCACCAAGCGCATCCTGGTCATCACCGTGTCCCTCGTCATGCTGCGCAACCCGGTCACCAGCACCAACGTGCTGGGCATGATGACGGCCATCCTGGGGGTCTTCCTGTACAACAAGGTGAGGCCCGGGCCTGGCGGGGGCGGCCACAGGGCCTTGGCCATGCACCTGTGGCGAGGCTCAGCTGGGTCCCCCCTCCTTCCGTGGCCATATGTAGTCTGTGGCAGGCTGGCCACAGACTGGCCAGCCTTGTCTGCCCTGGTTGGTGCCAAACCCCACCCAAGTGGTGGCAGTAGGTGGCGGTGGTATGGGGAGTGACCCCGGGACCGGTGCCTGGCAGGCGGCCCTCCACCACGTGAGCCAGGCCTCCCTCTTTCTGCTTTGATCATTGTTTGGCTTGTGTGTTTGCCCGGGCCTGGCCTCCGACCAGTCCGAGTGTTGGCATTGCAGGCGTGTGCCGCCACGCTTGGTTCATTTAAGACGGAGATCTCACCAACTTTTTGCCCGGGCTGGCCTTGAGCCACCATTTCCCAGCAACCGGGATTCCAGGCATGCGCCACCATGCCCAGCTCCTGATCGGCTTTGACGCGTGAACTCTTTCTGTCCTTTCAGACCAAGTATGATGCCAACCAGCAGGCCCGGAAGCCGCTCCTCCCGGTGTCGGGGGCGGACCTGGGGCTGCTGGAGCGGCCGCACAACGGCGCCCTGTTCCCTGCACATGGCCGCAGCAGCGCCCTGACCGACCACTTCCAGTACGGCCGCCAGAGCCACGCAAACTCCTACACACTCAGCCGCTACGACGTGTAGAGCCCAGAGTGGGGCCAGTGCCGGGACACACGTGACTGGCCGCCGCAGGGCCCCGGGCGGGGCAGCAAGCCCCCGACCCCCCCAGGCGCAGGGGGAGCCGGGTCAGACCTGCGTGGCCCGAGCCCCACGCGCCCCACGCACCTGCCTCATTCTTGGGTGATTTTGTGCGTGGTATTCAGGACCCAGCCTGGTGAAGCAGGGTCACCGTGGCTGCAGAGCTGGCGAGAGGTGGCGTTTTGGGGGTGCAGGTGTGGAGGAGGGGCAGCTGGACACGCGGGCTGGCACAGGTTTCCCATGGGCCCAGGACGTGGCCCGTGTGGCACTCATGGCGGTGCCAAGTGAGACGGTTTGCAGCTGCCCAGGACCCCAGGGCCGGGGCACCCCCCGCCCCCCGCCTGCAGCTCCGCCGAGGCCCCGGTCCCTGTGTCAGGTGCGGCCACAGGTGCTGCTGTCGGCGTGGACGCCGTGGCCACCTCTGGGGACCCGAGGCCAGCCCGTGGGCTGCTCCTGGCGTGACCGGGGTGGTGCATTTTCGGGGGGCGTTTTGTAGTTGCGTGGCATTAGGCCGTGGCCCGCTGGGGGCTGGCGTGTGGATGGGAAATGCTTGTACATGCTGAGCAGCAGTGGGGCGCCTGTTGCCATGGTGACGAGTGGGGTGTGGGCCGCGGGTGGGTGCGTGGGGTGAGGATCATGGCCTGGTTAATGGGGAGACGATCCCCGTCGGTCTTGGGGGACCTGGCTGACCTGGTGAGCTGGGGCGGGCCCCACGGCCTCTCCCAGGAGCAGTCCACGCCCTCCTCTGCCGCAGCTGCAGTGCGTTCGCGTTCGCGCGGGGAAGCGGTCTGCTATCTTAGGAGGTCTGCTGCTCGTTGGCCTTCTTGGCTGCCGGGGGGTCGCCCCGTGGGCGTGGCCCGTGTCACCGTGGGTGTGGCCCATGGCCGTCAGTGCTGCTACTGGTCCTGGTCCAGCAGGAAGGCATGGCATGGGGCTGCGGACAGCCGCGGGTGGGGATGAGCCGCGGGAGGCCCAGCGGTGTGGATGGAGACCGCGCGCTCCTGTGTCTTCCTCCCCATGCAGAGTCTGCTGGCGCGGGAGATGATTGCTTTGGTTTTCTTATGGTTTATAAATTAATAAATGGGATATTTAATTCTGTACACACTCAGGGCACGCGTGTGCACAGCCACAAGCTGACAGACGAAACCGGTGCCCTCACGGCGCTCCCCTCCCCCACGACTTCCGCGGGGAAACTGAGGCTCATAGGTGCTGTGAGCGTAAGGTCAGTGAGGCACAGCGCCTTTCCCGGGGAGGCAGGTGGGGTGCGCGGGACTCGGCAGAGGGCACCCCATTGTTCAAGTGCCTGGCAGTGGTCTGGGCGCTGTGTGGGGTGTGTGGGAGCGGCGGCCCGGCGCCTCACTGCCGGTTCAGGACGTGATCCGTGGTGGTGGAGGAAAGGAGCTGCAGCCAGCGTCACGCAGCAGTGTCGCTTTGCTTTTGGTTGTGCCAGGATTTGAACTCACTTCATGCTTGCCAGGCAGGCCCTCAACCACTCAAGCCACACCCCCAGTCCTTTCTGCTTTGGTTGTTTTTGAGATAAAATCTTGTGTCTGTGTCCAGGCTGGCCTGGGCCCCAGTCCTCTTCCATTCACCCCAGCTGGGAAGCGTCGTGTACCACCACACTGGCTTTTCTGAAATAGTGGAGATGGGGTCTTATGAGCTTTTGCCCTGGGCTGGCCCTCTATCATGTTCCCCATGACCGCCCCCTCCTGAGTAGCTGGGACTTCAGGTGGTACCTGTGTGCCCGGCTGTTGTCTTGTGGGGCTGGTGTGTGCACCCAGATGGCAGGCTTGCTGACCTTGGCCATGTGACCCGAGGGGCCATGGCCCTCACACCGCTCCTGCAGCCCATCCCACGGCTTCCTCCAGCGGAGCTTAGCCCAAACCACTACTCCCCCAGACTCAGGATCACAGTTCAAAGCCAGCCCTGGTAGGAAAGTCCCTTAGAACTTAGAAGTGGCGCTGAAGAGCAAAGTGATAGCACACAGGGCTGGGAAGGTGGCTCAGGGGTAGAGCGCTCACCTCGCATGCGCGAGTTCCTGGGTTCCAGTCCTCAGCAACCCACAAGCCGAAAAAGCCGGAAGTGGCGCTGTGGCTCAAGTGGTAGAGCGCTAGCCTTGAGCTGAAGAGCTGAGGGACAGCGCCCAGGCCCAGAGTTCAGGCCCTATGACCCACCAAAAAGAAAGCCCAGGCAGGTGGGGGGATTTGGGGTTCTCTGGCCTGCATTTATGGGGAGAGGATGGAATGGAGGAGATTCTGTGCTGTCCCCATGCGCTCTCGTGGCGTGGCCACGGCCCGTGCCTGGACATGCTGTGTGTGGTGAATAGCGTGGGCGGTGGGGGGTGAATGGTGCGGGCTGCCGGCCGGCTCTGCGGTGCATCATCTTCCGAACGAGCCTCCATGCGCGGCTGATACACCTCCTGGCGGAGCCTCACCCACCAGCTCTGTGCCTTACTAAAGTGGGAGAAACCTTTTGAGAAAGCCCGAAGGTAGCACAAACAGCAGGCGTCCGCGAGTCACGCGTCGGCCATGGGCTCCATCCATGAACCACGCGTCCTGTGACAGCACCACGGAGAGCAGTGCCACCTCCAGGAAGCACCATGGCTGTTCCCAGCTCCTGGCTCCCTGCAAAAGGTTTGCCTGTCAAGGTCACTGTGAGGCCGAGGATGGATCCCCTCCCCCGCACACCCTGCCTGCTGTCCACACCACCACCTCGCTGCTGTCGCTGTCGGAACGGGGCTGGGCCTGAGCTGAGAGCCACCGAGAAGCTCGAGAGGCCGCCACGCCAAGCCACAGCGCCAAACCCATATTCAAAGGCTCTAGCAGTGCTGGGTGCAGTGGCGCACGCCTGCCACCCCACCAGAATGGGAGGCTGAGATGGAGATCACAGGGCCCGGCCAGACTGGAAAGCTGACACCCCATCTCAGCCGAGGGAAACTGGGCCCTGTGGCACACGCCTGTCATCCCAGACACAAAGGGAAGCCACAAGGACACAGGTCCCAGCCCAGGCATATCTCTGGGCAGGAATCTCAAAAAACCCCAGGAAAAACGGCTGAAGGCCTTGCTCAGTGATAGAGGCCCAGTCTGCATGAAGCCATGAGCACCCCTGTATTGCCTTCCAAAGGAAAGACCCTGTCCTGGCGTGCATGCTCACGGCACTGTGGCTGTGTGTGCTGCACACCACCTTGCACACTTGCTGTGTGGGAGCCTCTGCCACACATCACGGGCTTGGGGAGGGTATGACAGAGAATGGAACAGATCAAGAAGCCAAGCCAGGCATGTGGAGAACTGCAATTTGTTTCCACTCTGCACTCATCCCCTACCCCAGGGTGGGGTTTGGGGGTTCCACAGCAGGGTCTGGTGACTGGGGCTGTGCTGGTTGCTACAGGTGAGAGGCAGGGCTTAGGCCAGAACAAGCAGTTAGGGTGGAGCAGGAAGCCGGTGGTGGGAGCACAGAAGTGGGCCCTGGGAGCCTTGTGGGGTCGGGTCAAAGGTCGCTTTGGGATGGTCGCTTTTGGGATGCAGCGGAGCGGTCAGGGTCCTGTCCGGTCTCAGCTGGGTCCAGGCCGCATCCACAAGCCACCCCCACCGGCTGCCTGAGCGCTGTGCACCCAGCCTTCAGCAGCGAGTGGGACGAGCAGGAGTGGAGGCCATGTTGGGGTACCTGGCAAGGACCCGCTTTCCCCCCCTGCAGCTTTTATTAGCATCAATTAGTTGTACAGGTGGGTTGCATTTTGGCATGTCCATACGACATAAAAGTTCCTCGATCGGGTTCAGCCCTCCTCACCCCCCCGGCATCTGATTTCCCGTCCCGCCTCTCCGCCCAGCTCCTCACGAAGCTGAAATCCGAGGGTCGTGGCTGGAAGCGGCGCAGGCGCCCAGGCCTGCGAGTCTCCAGGCCAGGGCGCTCCCCGCACAGCCGGGCGCGGGCTCGGAGCCCGCACCAGCCGGCTGCGTTTGCACAGGTGAGGGCGTCTCCCCAAAGGGCCATTTTCTTTGTTGGGGGGTTCGTGGCCGTCGGGCCGCGCTCCGCCCCGAGCCCGGGCGGCGGGTG